AGCAAATATTTATTTAAACACAATTTTTACATTAAAAGAAACTAATTTTCTTTTTGTAAAAAAATCATTTACTTATTCTCGTATATAGATATTTTAAATCAAAGAAATCACTTTTTATAGAAATTTATAATTTTAGAGCTCATTTTTTGCAAATTAAAAAAATATTACATTATATTTATTATGTTTTCTAAAATCTAACAAATATATTTTTAAGTTAAGAAATTATATTTAATAATAAAATATATTTCTTTGATTTAAAGAATTCTTTTCTAATGTACATTACCAATTTAAATTTTGATGTTGTTATTTCTTCATTAATTTAATAATTATAAATAATTACATTTATTTTTTTCATAAATAGTATTTATAGAAACATTTATAAAATATTACTACAAATATTTATTTTTTGTTTATCATAAATATTGTATAAAATATTTAGTCTATGTTTTAATAATATTTTGAAGGATATTGATGCTTTTTTTCAAGTACATAAAATATTTATATAAGGTGTAGTAAAAAAAAATCCATTATTTTTCCAATAGATGGCTTTAGTGTATCTCGCGTTATATAAGTGCGATCGGTTTACGTTAGATGGCGTTAGAAAGATAAGATTTCGTACTAAAAAAACTTCTGAGACAGTTTTGTGATTGTTTGACTCAGTATTGTTTGAGCGCGCGTCAAAGATGGACACCATCAAAGAGAAAATACGCCACATTTTACAGTTTTTCTTCGATAAAGGCGAAAACGCAAGCCAGGCGGCTGAAAATGTGAATAGTGTTTATGGTCCTAATACTGTAACAGCCAATCACGCGCAATTTTGGTTTCGTCGATTCCGTTCCGGTAATTTTGATGTCAAAGATGCACCACGCTCTGGAAGGCCAATTGTCGAAAATGTCGATAAAATAATGAAAATCGTCGAGTCCGACCGTCATGTAAGCACTGTTTCGATTACCCAGGAGCTAAACATTGCACAAAAAACCGTTTGGAACCACTTGAATAAGGCTGAATACAAAAAGAAGCTCGATGTATGGGTGCCACACGAGTTAAGGCAAAAAAACCTCATGGATCGAATTTCCATCTGCGAATCGCTGCTGAGTCGCAACAAAATCGACCCATTTCTGCAACGGATGGTGACTGGTGATGAAAAGTGGGTCACTTACGACAACGTCAAGCGAAAACGGTCGTGGTCGAAACGCGGTGAGCCGGCGCAAACGGTGGCCAAGCCAGGATTGACGGTCAGGAAGGCTTTGCTGTGTGTTTGGTGGGATTGGCAGGGAATCATCCACTATGAGCTGCTCCCCTACGGCCAAACTCTTAATTCGGACCTGTACTGTCCACACTTGGAACGTCTGAAGGAATCAATCGCCCAGAAGCGGCCAGCTTTGGCCAGTAGGAGAGGAATTGTGTTCCATCAGGACAACGCCAGACCACACACATCGATAGTGACT